ACCTCCGCGGCGTGGTCGCCCTCTGCTGCTCCAGAGCGGTCTCAAGGGTAGCCAGCTGCTCGTAGTGCCGCTGCTCCGCGGAGTCAGACGCACTCTGTGCGCCATGCTCGGCCTCCTCCGCGCGCCGCCGCTCACGCTCCAGTGCTGCGCGAAGGCCATCCACCTCCGCGGCGTGGTCCGCCCTCTGCTGCTCCAGAGCGGTCTCAAGGGTAGCCAGCTGCTCGTAGTGCCGCTGCTCCGCGGAGTCAGACGCACTCTCGTGCGCCATGCTCGGCCTCCTCCGCGCGCCGCCGCTCACGCTCCAGCTCTTTTTCTGTGTCTACGATGAAATTTTTGAGGTCGTTAATTTGTTGGTTAAGATTTTTTTCTATTTTGTATTGTTCCTCTAGCGTCACCTTCATTGCTAAGAGTTGCTCATGGTGTTCGTATTGGATATCTACCAAAGTCTTTTTGCCAGCCTTAATCTCTGCAGCGTCAGTGTTATTACTGCACTCTCGGAGTGTTTGATGCAGTAGTTTGACTTGAAGTTTAAGTGCCTCCAATTCGTTACTGTCAAGCGGCTCCGGATTCATAACTGCAGCCCTGGATGCCGTTCGCTCTGCAGATGCCATTTTCTTTTCATTTTCTTGTAGTGCGCTGCGATGTTGCTCCAAGGAAACCTTAAGTGTGGCATTTGTGTGGTGCATTTGCTGTAGTTTCTCGTTAGAATCCCTTAAGGTCTCTTCCAAGGTTCTTGTCTTCAAAATTTCCTCCTGAAGGATCTCTTTCAAAGTCCTGTTCTCGTTGTGCATGTGTTCTATTTCCGCCGATGACGGTGATGATTCATGCGTTTGACCGTCTGTTGACTGTTTGAGAGTCGCGAGCTCCTGCTGGGCAGAATGCAGCAGTGTAACGACGCTGTCACGCTCCTCTTGCAAGCCAGTCAGTTTTTCCCGCAGCTGTTGAAGCTCGTGATCGTCTTCAGGGGCCTCGTCGAGGAAGTGGCGCATAAAGTGATCATGACTCATGTGTGCGTCGTTGATGTCGGTCTCGGACTGTGTGGTGCCTTCTTCCGCAGTGCTCCCTTGGCGCTGCAGCACCATAATGTGCCGCAACATTTTCGCAATGCGTTTTGCCACTGCCGCAGCCTTTGGAAGACCGTTTGGCAAAGCAAGGTACTCAGAAAGCGCGACAAGGGCCGCGTGCGTCCCCGACATCGCATTTGTCACACGCTGTGGTGAGGTGACCATCAAGGCATACTGGGCTTCGCGTGTGGCTGCGCCAATGCGCGCCGTAATTTCCCTCCTACGACTTTCGTTATCCCCCATTCCTGTTGTGAGTGCAAGACGTGTATAAAGTAATAAATACAAAAGATAAAAAAAAAAAAAAACTTATTTCAATCCTTCCTGCGCCTGCTACTCCGCTGGTCTCTTCTATGAGGTGTGGGGCAGCCTTTCAGCTTGCTGGCGATAGAGACCAGATAAAAGGGATTTTAGCATCACGGAGATGTGGCGCCGTAATGTGCATACACAGTGGTATAAAGGCAAAAAGCAGGAGTGAGAAACATGTGGCGAGGGCAAAACAAAGGAACTCAATGAAAATTTGGATGTCGATGCATCTTTACGGCGTTCCTCAGCAATCCGTTGACGTTTGGCTCCCAGAGCCACCTCTCCGCACGGTGGCTGCGTACTTCTCAAACTTCATCCGTGCCACTGTCTCTTCCTCCGCCAGGAGCTGCGCCACTTCATCTGCGATGCCGATGCCATCTTTTCCACGCACCTCTGTCTCTGCTTGAACCGTCGCCACCCGACCACGCAGACTCAGCGATGTTTGTGCGATATTTGTCCCCAGTCGCGCTTTTGCCGCAGCTGTCGATAATGATGATACTAGTCGAATGGGTAGCGATGCCCAGCTGAGCAAGATGTCCTCCCTCGCCTGATGCTCTTCATGCATGAGGAAAACATGCTCAGAAAGCGCCTCATAAAGAAGGTTTTGCTGTCGCATCGCCCACTCCACTGCGTCAGGACCCATTTTTGTTTCTTGAACACTTCGAGAACCTCCCACTCCCCTCATAGTGCCCGCCGCCTGTAGCCTCCTCCAGGCAAAGGTGGAATGTGGCATGTCAACCTCCCTGGCACCGTCGCCTTCGCTGCATGTCCAGAGGCCCGTTTCAACAGGCAGCCCTGTGGCAGCTGTGACGCGGCGCACCCACGGCGGGACAACCTCCTCCACTGTCGTGTCCGTGTTACTGACATCACTGACGTGGGGTGAAGCAAATCTTATTCCGTCCACCCTAAAGACGACGCAGTGCGCTCTGCCAAGCAACTCCAGCGAGTAGCAGAGCGTGCAGCGCGAGGTGGCGGAGACCCACCGGCGAAACCCCGTTACAGCCTCGATGACATCACTGAAGACAACCACTTCAAGCATTGCAGTGTCGTCGCATGCCGTCGGCCCGCATTCACAGCCATCTTGCGCACCGAGAACAAGAGAAAAAATGATTCCCGTGCGTGTAACTGTGATACTCCCCAAACACAGGTAGTTGGTGACAGACGCCTGGCACGGTCCGTCCTCCTGCCGCGGCAAAAGAGAAAACGGGTGCGTGGCATCCAAAAACACAACGGGGAGGTGGAGATCATCGGCGTCCGCGCCATCACCGTGCCGCGGTGATAAGGTTGTCCCGACAGAGACAAGCGCCATCACTCATGCGTTCCGTGCGCCCTCCCAACTGTGCTGCGCCACGCGTGGGAAACACACACACACACACACACAAACAAAAAAAAAAAAACAAGGCAGGCAAGGAAAGAAGAAACGTAAAGGCCCGACAGTTTTCGGACAGAAGAAACACAATAACTGCCTACATCGTCCCCGCCAATTTCAGTGACAACGAGGAGACAAGTGTGAAAGAGAGCACGCATGCCCAAAGCAGGGGATGCGGATAATAGCATGCACTATATCAAAGGTGCGAAGGTGAAGTAGCTTGGTATCGCAGGCACCCCACTCCCAGTAGCCGAACACGTTAAAGAGCAGAGGGGAAGATCTTAAAACATCCATTAAAACTTCGGTGGAACGGCGCCAACAAACCGACTATCGGGCGTCCAGCAAAGCTTCGTTTTCTGTGCCTCGTAGTATTTCTTCGCCTCATGTCGACGGCGATTCAGGGACTTGAGTTTGCCCTTAACATACTCCTGCTGCTTCCCCTCCTCCGTATTTTTAGGCAGTGAGACACTCGGCAGTGAAGTGAGGGCAAAACTCCGGGCAAGCTCCGCCAAGTTGAGTCGCCGGATGCTGAAGGTCTCCTTCAGCAGGTGGTTTTGGTACGCCCCGATGTGTGCCCGGTAGGCACTCACAGCACTCTTCGCCACGATGGGGTCCAGCTGCAGCACGTGTTCCAACTTCATCTGGATTGACGGAAGCTTCTGCGGCATCGGGTACCTCTCCAGTGTGATGTTAAACTTAAAAAGGTAGCGAACAAAACCCACCTCTTCAGGCGCAAGGAAGAGGAGGGCGTTCCCGACATTCCCGGCGCGTGCAGTTCGTCCAATACGGTGAATGTACTCGGTGGGGTCAAGCGGCGGGTCGTACTGCAAAATCCACTCCACGTTTGGGATGTCAAGGCCACGGGCAGCGACGTCTGTACAGAACAGCACGCCTGTTTTCCATTCATTAAAGACCTTAAATGCAGTCACACGCTGACGATGCTTCATATGGCCATGAAGCATCATCACCTCGTTGTGAAACCCAACAGAACCCATCATCTGAAAGTGGAATGTTGTGCTGGCAATGGTAGAACAGAAGACCATCGCTTTTGAGGTGCGAGCAATCCGCTTCACAAAGACATAGAGGCAAATCAAACGCTTATCAATGGGCGCAATATGGCAAAACTGGCGCAGCGTGCTCGGGATTGGCTCCGTGTCTCCCTTCGTGCGGTGTGGCGTCGAACTTGACTCCCTTGAGACGGATGTCTCATCCTCCTCATCATCGCTCAATGGGTCGGCGTAGGAGCTGTACGGCGGCATTTCAGCGGGTGCTGTCGCCACGGCGTCGGTTGTGCCACCATGCGCCTCCATGTGCACCAGGGATGGGGCTTTGCCTGTGGTCGCAATAAAAAGTGGGGTACGGGAGAGCGATAGTCGTGCAAGATCACGCACAGACTTTGAGTTGGTTGCTGAAAAGAGAAATGTTTGCCGGGACTGCGGCAGGCGTTGCACAATCGCGTCCAGATCCCTTTGAAACCCGTCTGCCAGCATTCGGTCTGCCTCATCCAGAACGAGGAAGCGCAGCCGCCCTAGATCCCAGTGGACGCAGTGTTGCACGTGGTCATGCACGCGACCCGGCGTACCCACAACGATGGAGGCACCCGCCACTAGTAGTCGACGCTCTTCAGTTACTTTTGTCCCGCCCGTAATGAGCTGTACGGAGAACGCGGCAACCTCGCTGGGAATGTGCTGGCAGATACTCTTCAAAACATCATGCGTCTGCACGCACAATTCCTTTGTGGGGGCGAGCAGCAGACTATACGTCGCGTTAGGTCGCTTGTGCACAAGGCTGAGCGTGGCGTGCAGAAGAGGAACGCAAAAGGCGAGCGTCTTTCCAGACCCCGTCTTCGCCTGTCCAAGGAGATCATAACCCTCCAGTGCATACGGGACAACTCGCTCTTGAATGGTCGTCATGCGGCAGAAGCCCTCTGCTTCTAGTCCCTGTACGATATGTGGATCAATACCAATAAGGGGATGGCTGAAGCGTGGGCCTTTGCCCACGCGTCGACGCTGTTCAAGCAGTCCTTCCTCTCCCTTTTTTATTCCAACGCGGCTAGGCTGACTAAGCAGAGCTTGCAAGGCATCCTCGGTGCCGTAGTTGTGCTGCAGCAACTCCTCCGTCTGGGCCATGGCGGCGTCAACATCTTCCTCCCGCTGTCTCCTTCGCATGTGGCTAGTGTGCCGATTTGCGTGCTCCTCCGCAATGTGGTCCAGGTAGTCCATGTCCTGCATGTTGAAGAAGTCCGTCTTCTTCATGCGCGGCACGCCGTGAGCATCCATTGGGGGCTGCGGGATCCCACCACCCACCCCCGCAACTTCGTCATCGTCGGCGTATCCGTCACCGCAGGGGTGACCCACAGCCCCCCGCTCGTCATACTGAGAGCCTTCGTCACCCGCCCTCAGCTCCCGTTCACGGAGTCGCTTCCTTCGACCCTTAATACCCATTCCTTACAGGGTTTTCTCCTTCTTCTCCTGCGAGGACGGCGGCGAGGCGAGGCAAGATGGGGGCGTAGAGAACTCCACCAGCAGCTGAAGAAACAGGCACAACACACGGAGGAATACGCATGTGCACAGAGAAACAAAATAAAATAAAATTGGGTCATGTACTTTCCCTCAACGGCACACACACACACACACAAAAACATGACGTGCACGAGATCCACAAACGACACTGCGTAAAATTTTACACAGTGAGATGCAATCCAAGCTACGTTCATATTTTGTTAGACATTCACAGCAGGAGACTCGCTCTCTCCATTATTATTCTCCACGAATAAACCAACATACAACACACCAGTTTTCATTCCCATACCTTTGCAAAGTAAGCCCGCTGGCTGTGAAGTCGACCCTTTCAACGCCGCAGCCTGCCACACAAACCATCCCTCACGGCACTTCACCGCACACATTTCGTCAACTGATCTCGGGAAATATGCACTGCCAGGTTTAATATAAACTCCCATGCGATAGTGCTGCTGATGTTTCTGCTTCTCCTGCTGCTGGTGCTGATATTCTTCATAGGCGCTCCGTGTTACGATGGGAACCTCCCCCTTCTCCAACTGGTGCAGCTCCCGAATAACGGCACTAGGGACGTCCTTCGGGTGTACAGCATTTGTAAAGGTGCAGCTGATAAGAAGATGTCGCTGAAGGTGGTTGGGGTGAGGTTCCATCGTCAAAGGCATCTCTGCTGCCTCTTCCTTCACCACCCCAACCCCTTCTAAAAAGAAATCCTTCTTGCCGATCCTCTCTTCGTTTCCTCTCAGTTCTGTTGTCCCATCCTTAGACTGCCTATAATGAGATAGTGTCCTTATCTCTCGTGCCGCTCGAGCTAGCAACCGGTGCAGCAGCTGCTCCCGCACCGGTGTTGCACCCTTGTCAAGCGTGGCGTTGACAGTTGGGTTGTAGTAATCTCCGCCCACAAAAGCCCTCCACGTGCCATACGCCTCCTCGGCAGTCATGGTGCCCCAGCGGATGACTGCCCTGTTCTTGGGGAGAAGAGGGGCGTGATACGGGTCCTTCGTGAAGTGCACGTCATAACGCTGCGGCCACGCGGAGACCCAGCGGGCATTGAAGGTGCGGGGCCAGTCACAAGTGGGAGACATCGAGGCTTTCGCCACCGCATCATCCGCGTCTTCCACGTCGCGCCAGTCATGCTCCGGCGCCCTTGCAGAGGGTCCACCACCAAAAATGCACTCGCACAGCCCCGTCGCCCCCATTTCTGTGACACGGGGAAAATACTCACGGATGCTCATGTCGTGTGGAATGGGCATGGACTTCTGCCACAGCACGTCCCCGGAATCCATCAGACGCTGCTCTGGCGACAGTTTGATGACGCTCGCCCCGCCAACTTCATCACAGCGAAGGAGCGGGGCAAAAATGGGACTCGCGCCTCTATAACGTGGCAGCAGCGATGGGTGGAGGTTGACAGTGCGAGGCAGCCGCTCCAACAGCTTCTTTGGAATAAAGTAACGAAACGACACCACTACAGCAACATCAAACGCCTCCAGTGGTTGGCCCAAGAGGTACCGATTTTCCTCCTCCCCTCTCATCACCTGCTTCCCCGCCGCACTGCTGCTCTGCTCGCCAGCACGCCAAGGGTTAAGGAGGTACCGCAGCGTTGTACTCCGCGCCATCGATGTTGGATGGTCCACTGGTATCAATGGTATGTTGTGCTTAACACAGTAGCGCGCCACAGGATACTGTCGGGTGTGACGTTGAGAAATGACACTGGGATCCGCAGGTAAAAAGGGACACACAACGACTAGCTGCTGTTTGCCCTCCGCCGTTTTTGCCAGGTGTGATTGGCTAGGAGGCATCAATCCTGCATCCGAGGCGGCAACAGTCTCTGTCGCCCGAATGCACTCCAGCCGCTCACGCAACATCTTGAGAGCCACCAGCGAAACGATGTCCCCACCGAAGAAAACAATAGATGGGGTTTTGAGCACCTCCCGCTTAGTCGCACCGCCACTATTTTCACCTCCGCCCCTACTGCATGTGGTGTGAAGCGTACAGCAACGGCAGAGAGAGGCAAGGCCATAGCAGTGTGGCATGCAACCGCATCGCCGCACCAGAGAAACGGCCCCCCCCCGGCACCATGTATAGGCTCTGCCTCGGCAGGCACCGCTGCATGTGCAAAGACAAACCTTGATGGCGTCGAGTCCGTATTATGTGAAGAAAACGTTCAAAAAATGTTGATAGGGACTTCAAGGGAAGCGTGTTGTTCCCTCCAAACAAACCCCCTCGTGCTGCACGCCTGATAAAAGCAAAAACAAAAAACAAAAAAAGAGTAAAGCGTGACGGTTGTGGCACTGCTTCCATCGCGAGGATGTGCAGCACATGAAGCGCAAGTGGTTGTAGCTCTTCATCAAACTGCAGACACAGAAAAAGAAAAAGAAAAAAAAAAGAAAAAAAAGTAGTTACAGATGACCATTTCCAGTATGAATAATAATAACAATAGTAATATTAGTAGAAGTTGTAATAGTATTTTTCTGCACGCACTGGCGGCTTCGCGAGGCCCCTACGGAGGATCACTTAAAGCCATAAAAAAAAAACTTCACAAGGTTCACTTCACTCAAGGCCTTCCTCCTGCACAAGTCCGCCCCCGCCCTCCGTCTCGGAGTCCTTGTCGCTGTCATTGCCCGAGGTTGCGTCCTTGCCAATCAATTCAAACCATGTCGAGGGCTTCTCCTTCACAAGTCGCAGAACAACCTGGCCACTCGACTCCTTTACCTTGTAAGTGCACTCATCCGCCTTAATAGATTTGCAGAGGTGCAGCAAAAGCTGCTTTTTGCGCCGCAACGTGGTGGCCTTGGACGATACCACGTTCGCCGCGTAAGACACAGTCACCTTCCGCCGCTGGAACTCCACTTGCAACGTCTCGTCCACCAACGGCTGTTCCCCCTCAACTTTCGTCTCCACGTAGACAGTAGCAACCTTCTCAGCGTCACCCCAGCTGTACTTCGTGATGGAGAAAGTTGTGGCGGCGATGGGGAGCGGGTCAACGCTCTCCGACTTCTTCACCAGCTGCGGTGTGGGCATTGGAGCCACATCCCCCACCTTAGCACGCTCCTTCTCGTGACCGTGCCAATAATAGTACGAGTTCGCAGCCTTCTTCTTCGCGTCAGTAGTCGTCTTTTGCTGCGGCTGCGGCTGAGTGTCCGTATCGGTTGACTCTGGCTCGCTGGTCATTGTTTGCGCGGGAAGATGGGGTGAGGAAGTTTTTCTCTTCACCCTGGGCAAAAAACACCTACACGCGGGGAAGGTCACCAACAAACAAAATAAAACCAAAAAAAAGGTCAAAAGCAAAGACAACAGCGTCGCCGAGGCAAAAACGAAGCTCGCAGCACCCCCCGCCCAAAACTGTGAGAGTGACGCTGGGAACGGAAGGTGCGAGCAAATGTACGCAAAGAAAAAGCCAAAAAGACGCACAAGACAAAGGAGAAAAAAAAAAAAAGAACCGTGCAGCTCCAAAAAAGGAGCGACAGTACATGACAATGCACACACCGGGCACAAGTTCAAAGGCAATGAAAAACGCTACCAGTCATCCCACTCCTCATCCGCCCCCTCCTCCAGGTGCACATTCCCCGTCGAAGTAAACACAGCAACATTCGCAGTGGGCGGCTTTGCAAACCGCATCTCTTCTTTGTCAAAATCATCCTCACTCCAGCCATCGTCATCCTCCATCTTTGAACAATCCGTTGCATCCCGACCTGAAGAAACCAACACACAGTTCAGCATTAAATAACGAGCCAGCGATAAATACTCATCCTGCTGTAAACGGGCAACCCTTAACCTGTCAATACTCTCGTCATGCTCAAGTAGGCCAAGCTTTTCAGAAGAGAGCAAAACCACCGAAGCCTCCTCACCCAAAGAAGACAAGCACCCACCACTAACTAAATCCACATCAACACGGCGACGTGCTTCCTCTTCAGCCAGGCGACGTGCTTCTCCTCAGCCAGGCGACGTGCTTCCTCCTCAGCCAGGCGACGTGCTTCCTCCTCAGCCAGGCGACGTGCTTCCTCTTCAGCCAGGCGACGTGCTTCCTCTTCAGCCAGGCGACGTGCTTCCTCCTCAGCTAGGTGACGTGCCTCCTTTTCTTTGTGGAAACTCTTCACGTTGTTGTCTTTTACTTTTCTTTGATTGTTGTCCGTTACTCGTCGATTGTCGTTAGTTGTGTTGCGCAGTGTGTACGTTGTGGTGAAGTCGTTGCCTTGTTGATCAT